CGATTGGTGATGAAACGTTTGCAATCAAATTGCCCAGCTCAGCGAACAAGCCAACGACCACCATCTACGATACCTGAGCTACCAACATTTTCCTCTATAGAACGCCGTTACTTGCTTCACTGAGTAGTCGGTTTACAGTATTGTTTTGTCCAATTGGCGCATCAGACGATTCTGAGTTTCCCTATAGTTTAGCGAATCACGGAGTCCTTAGCCACTGAGATCGGTCGCTTCGGTACCTGCTAGCCCCCCTCCGGGCTTGCCCCACGCACATGGTCGAGAGTGTGTCTGCCCTAATGCATAGTAATAATAATAATAATAGTTCAACTGTAACACCTTATCGTTGCCTACCCGACTCGCCTGATTGTTCAAGGTTAGACACGAACTATCGACATGCTGATGTTTCGCTTGAACCATGAACTTCCCAAACACCAAGTTCGTACCTCCCTCGACCTTCAATATGTAACTATCTACACCATCTGTTTGTTGGGAGCCCGGTACCGACTTCTCCATCGCAATGCGAGATAAGTCTCCAATCGAGGAGGTTGAGACTTTCGATTAGCTTGCAACGCCAGCCAGTTTGAGGCCGGAACATTGTATGCAGGACGAATGCACGCGACAGCACATGTCCTGAGATGTTCACTCTTGACGTGATACCACAGCTAGCGACTAAACTGTTTTTTCTTTGGACACTGAATTTCACGGCTCCAGTACATGTTGAGCGGATCTGAAGCCGGTCAGTTTGACAAAGGAGTGCCAGATAGAGGTGCCGCCTTAACCCCCCATTTCAGCAGTATGATGATCGTCCGATCAGGGCTGTTGTCAAACGAAAACCTGGAGATAGCTCGGGGATCTGCCTCGCAGAGTTCTTCTCGCCCAGCCCTGTGCGACCGAGAAGTGGACAACAAAGTATGGACGCGCTATCCAGTAGGCTCAGTCGGGTCGGCAACTACTGTCTGCCTGGATGGTGACCCCGGAACTCAACTGAACAGCGGTTACTGACCTTGGCAGACGTGGTCAAATCACGATCAGTGGCACTCGTGCATTAAAGCCGTCGTCTTCGTTGCGTAGCTGGCCAGTTCCTGGACTGACCTAACAAGCCATCGCCTCCAGAGCTTGGCGCTTTCCCATTTTCCGGTGATAAAAACTGCATCAGGTGGAACCAACGTACGCTTAGTAAATGGCGTATAGATAACAAACCGAACTGAACTGAAATAACTGATAGCTCGGAGCTGTTAGGGTGTCTTTCTGACCTACTGATCCCTAGCTAGAATCCGATACCGTTCAAGAGTAAGCTTGCAACATCTGATAGTGTCTTGATTCTCATCTGACCAACAGATGGGCATCAACAGACACCAGGTAGTGTAGCTGAACTGATTTGTCCCCATCGGTCTAGTTGGGTTGATTATAGTTCGATGGCAGAGTACCGTGACAACTGTGCCATTTTCCTTGCGGATTCTTCCATCTTGGATTCTTAAAAGATCATCTTAGTCGAACTTGAAGGATCACAAGAATTGGGGACATCCTGTTGCCCAGTGTTCCGCCACGCATAGTTTCACTTCCTATTTAAACATCTTTAACGAACCATGGTTATTCTGTCTTTATCCTCATTGTGGTACACCTGTTTCACACGAGTTTGTTTCCAACATAGGTTGAGACAATGCAGTTCACGATAAACAAAGAATATGCCAAAGCATACAATGAATTTCGGAAGAAGGAAGAACTTCAGAAATTAAAGGATCGACATGGTGATATAAAGTTGTCAAATAAGCGGAAACACTCGGCGAAGGACGTGTCGAAAGAAACCGATGACGAGAGGTCAGAAGAAGATGAATCGATGGAGTCCTCTTCGGATTCTGATGATGAGGAAGAAAGCAGCACAGAAGAACGTGAACACGAGGATTTTCTGCGTTTGTACGATGCACTTTGCCGGAACGATCCAGCGCTAGATGATCCAAGCAAAAAATGGTTTCATGACGAGGATGAGGATGAGGTTGAAGAAGAGCAATCGAATGGATCAGCTGCGGAAGGTCCTTCAAAAACGGTGTCTGCTCCTGCAGCCGGGAAAACGAAACATCAGAGGAAGTCAAAGGATCACAGACCTGTCACCCTCCGTGATCATGAACGCCAGTTTCTCCTAGAGCATGGTGGAGTGGAGGATGAGGCAGTGGCCGCCGATGCAGACCGAATTGCAAAGTTGGAGAGTGATGATGTTCTTAACAAGTTGTCACACTCGGAAGCGGATGCTTCCAAGGCCAAATTCTTAGAGTAGGTGTTTTTCTACCTCATTTTCCCCATGCACAAATATGTCTGCATTTTCACCTGTTTCTGTCTTGAATCGCGATCGGTGTATCTCTTCCCCAAAGGGTAGTAGTTCTCGGTTGTTTTTAGATCGTTTCCTCAGTTTCCCACGCAGGGTGTCATCGGTATCCGAATCATTTTTTTCTGTTTTAGAAACAGAAAACCAGATCAGTTTAAATAAGACAGGTAGCATCATATAGTAATTAGACGTCCCACATAGTCTATAACCCAGTCTCATCCCTAGAAACTGATACTCGTGTAACGGTGGATACTACTGATGGGGCGCTGGAGTAGTATGTTTTATCCTAAATCCGCTTCGTGTCTTTTTGTGGAATCGCTTTGTAGCATTTACTTCCATTTAAGTAACAGTCAATGACAGGCAACACACATCAATACAGACGGAATCCAGCGTACGAGCAGGAACCGTCTGTTGTCCTGCTCGCTTCAGTGTGCGAACATTGAAGGTAGCTAAGTAGACAGGCTCTCGGGGTTTGAAAACAAACTTCGAAGTGTTTAGAGTTGTAACTGAACTCGGACGTGCGGAAGCTTCAGCTGATTGTGATGCATGGTGAGCGAAACGGGCGGTCCTTGAGCTGGAACCTGCGTAGGTAGGGGGGTATGGTAGGATGTAAGAGGGAAAACTTGAACGTCTAAGAAGAGAGGCGTCAGTAGTAGCTTGTTTTCGCATACTCGTCCTGCTGTATGCAGCAAGTTAAGCGACCTGGCTGGTGACACCACGCGACGGTCGATGTGGTAAGAGAGTATTGTTGTAAATGCCATCATGGTTGTACATAGGCTGGGTTGGTGCCAGGGTGCCCAGACCTGATCTGATGTGGCGTGAGTTTCTTCAACAATACAACAATTGTTCAGCCGTAGTACCCTTTCAGTGCCTAACTGCCATGCCACCAGAAGGAAGCAAGAGAGCTGGAATACTGCCGGGTTGCCCAATCCTAGACAGGGGAAGTCGAGAGGCAGAGGTCGGGTTCGAACCACGGACCTTCCGGCCAATAAATTCACGCTCTAACCACTCGGTCCATCTCGCCCGGAAGTGACGATTAGATATGTTAGGTCTAGTTACGTTTTTCAGATCACAAACGGCGCATCGAATTCCAGTGGTTCCAGCTATTCTATAGCTTTGTTCACCGAGGATAGGGCAAATGAGGGAGTGTATGCCACTCGTCGGAGGCGGTGACCAAATCTGTGCATTGACAACAAATTTCTCTGCTTGTCAGGTACGGGAGCTACGCAGTGAAAATGATATTTTTGATGCAAGGCCGCCATTATCTGCGAGACACAGTCACCAACGATTGGTCGCCATTCGAAAGGATGGCAGTTAACAACGTGACTGTGTTGCCTGGTGAGGTTTCCATACGTCATTGTCAAATCCATGGACTGACCACCACTCGGTCGTCTCCATCCGACACAAGGCTAGGTCACGATGGCTCCATGCGGAAGACGGTTCTCTCGCATGCAATCTACGCGGCTCAACCAGCCCAACTTGTGAAGTGTGACCGGATGCTCTATCGATGGAGAGTGAGCTTGTCTGAACACCTTTTGGCGTACTTCAGCATTACTGATCTGATGCTCCCACCGGAACTGTGCAATGCTCGGGAGGCACCAATTGTCAAACACAGAGAGTCTCCGAGCATCTTTCGCGCGTATTGTCCTCTCTTAATCACAAAATAGTACATATCGACCCGTGGCCTTGTACACTCTACCCTCGATTTTCAAGCTCGTGTCAAGTCGGTGCTCCAGATGTCGGAGGTTAGCGAATGCTTCCCTGGTCTTCCTGCTAGGACTCACTCAGCCACCCAGATAGACGAACTCACCCACCACATCGATCGGCTCATCTGAAAGCATGAGACTTGAATTTGTTCCAGTCCTGCAGCATCAGTTTACACTTTACAGGTGTGAAGTGCATAATTGTGCAGGACTTTGCAGGTGTGAAGTGCATACCGAATTGTGCAGGTTATTTACAATAGTTTCCATTTCCAAAGCGTCTGATCCAAAAAGAGCGAGTTCGTTGGCGTACTCGATTTCCGTGCGCGAACGACCCGGCAGTATTTCGATGCCCGAAGTGTTTGAGGCAGATACAGAAGAGTCAACCACTGTATCGATTACGAAGTGGAGGAGTAAGGGCGACAGAGGACATCCTTGCCTGACGCCACTGGATTTGGTGAACTCGGGAGAGATTTCACTCTAGGCACGTACTCGCCCACGTGAGGAGGCATATGAAGCCTCTGTAGGAGACAAGATTTCAGAAAGGATCCTCTTCAGCATCAGAGTGTAATAGTTTCCGACCATCAACGTTGTTCACAACGGATCAAATCGAGAATCACGACCAGTGTCAGTCTAATACTTGTTGCAAAGTGAAGATACTGTCGATGCAACCCCGACCAGGGCAAGACCCAGCTTGATTCTCGGCAACCTGACTCTCCTGATGCTGGGTCAATTTGCGTAGGGTAATGGTGGAAAATACTTTGGAAGCTATGGACACCAGGCTGATACCCTAGCATTCTTCGCACTATGTTCTAGCGTCCTTTTTAAATATTAGAATCTTTGTCGAGGCGTTCTATTCTGTCATTATTCTTTCCTCATTCCAGATAGTCTGTAGTAAAGTCGTCAGGTTAGCCACGAGGGAATCGCCAACTTGATGAGTTCGGGGTGCGATCCATCCGGACGGGCGAGGTGGCTCGAGTGGTTAGAGCGTGAATTTACCCACCGGAAGGTCCGCTGTTCGAACCCGACCTCTGCCTCTCGACTTCCCCTGCCTAGGCTTGGGCAACCTGGAAGTATCCCTGCCCTCGTGCTTCCTTCGGGTGATATGGCAGTTAGGCACCGAAAGAGTGCTACAGCTGAACGAGTTTTTATTATACCCTATTCACCCTATGCACTTCATTTCATTTGGCTTTGCGTGACTGTCTCCTAACTGGAATCTCCCTATCCCCTCGTAAACTGGAAATGATCTATCCACCCGTGTTTCGTTTTCCTCTCTCTCTCTATAGGGCTTCCGAAGCAGCCCTGCGACAAACAGAGGAATTATCGGACAATGAAGATACACCCCGAAAGCAATCCAGGCAGCTTGGTTTCCTGAGACGTCGTAAGCTGCCAGAAACCGAGGACCATGCGAAGCCATCCATTGTGAGTCACCTAACGATGTACAGTTTTTCATTTCTAAAGCCGCCACCTGTGACATTCCGCTCTCGGTCAGTCCCCCGAATTTCTCCCTTAGCATGGCATTGCCCCCCCCCCTCCGAGGGAAGCTGATGGTTACGGGTCCTACTGAAAATAGTAGTATATAGTTAATTTTGAAATTCATTCTTAATAACGATACTGACTTTCCATCCAGGGAAGAGCAGTTCTTAGAAGAAGCGATAGTCATTAGCTATGTGTGGACATACTGGCACTGAGTGTCGACCATGTGCCTGTTGTCCGAGCTTGGCAGGTAGCTTACGAACGTTTCGTCATCAATCGTGAAGATAGTGTCAGTGCGCTCGCCCCTCAATTAGTTATAGAACGCTGGTTGTGAAGCTCAATACTGGCGATGGCTTGGCTTGCTGTTCCGCCCACTATGGTATATCAAAGGGCACGACAGCTTGGGGCATGCCTTTATGGAGACCAAGGAAGACCACTACAACTGTACTTATAAGGTCATCACCGAAAGTTCCGCAAGGCCACCTTGGGATCTTCGTGCAAGGACGAGAAACGCCTGGTTGGCTGACATCCCGACCAATCAAAGCATGCCATCGTTTGTTCCGTAACACACAATCGGCCCAACCAAACGTGATATTCGTTTATTAAGATAGGCTGGCCTTCCGACATCCAATGAACACCTGATCACCACCGGATCAGTATTATTCATTCCTTGCAAAAGGGAACACAGATGTCATCCTGGATCTGGTTGTGTTGTACACAGTTGGCGAAATAAATTTGTTTGCAAACCAAACTCGACTCGACTGAATCCCAGCTGAACTCCTGTCTAAGTTACTTTCCGACTATCGTGAGCCATCGAACAGTTTTCAGCAACCTTACGGATACTGTGTTCCATCAGGGAAGAACACTGCTATTTTCCAATCGAATTTGATGCCCTAGTCCGGTCCCCCTTGTTTATTAAAATAGGATACTGAGAATCTTCGATTCACAGACGGTAGTGGGAACAACGAGTCGGAAGCGTTCCTACGTGACTTCATCGTCAATCAGCGTTGGAAGAGACGACAGGAACAACGATTGCCCACCTACTCCGAGGTGTTGCGTAATGCAGACCTGGGCGAAAAAGACGATGAGGACAATGTGGTGGGTGACGAGTCCCCGTCCACCGTCTTTAACCGACTCAACGATGACAACATTCTGGATGAGGATGACGACTTTTTGGTCCGAGTTCGCGACTTTGAACGGGAAAAGCAAACGTCCGGTGCGGTAAGTAGTAGTAGTCAGCGTTTTGTTCTTGGTCTACACTGTTGCCCATCTCTCAACAGCACCGTATCTTTCCGAAAACAAAATCAGGCTGAATAGGTTTTCTGAAACAACAAAACTTGGTTCACTAGTCCTATCCGAATTCTTTTCGTTCAGCTGTACACCCTTTCGATACCTGACTGCCATGCCACCCATAGGAAGCACGAGGGCTCGGATACTGCCAGGTTGCCCAAGCCTAGACAGGGGAAGTCGGGAGGCAGAGGTCGGGTTCGAACCACAGACCTTCCGATCAGTAAATTCGCTCTCTAACCACCTGAGCAATCTCGCCGCCTTCTATGCGAATACCAACCATAAATCACAAAGCAACCCGGAAACCATCCTCAAATTACGTAGCCTGCTGTTCTTTCTCGGGCTAGCGGTTGGTGGATTGGTCGGTGGTCAGCGTTCCACTTCGTACACAAAAACTTCGGGCCTATTGAGGGAAGGACAGATCAGTAAGCTGTCTTTCGATGGAATGTCGGCTAAAATATCTGGTCTGTCACTACGTCCTAAAACCAATGGATTGGTAATCTTTAACATCAACTTGGTTGGGCTCGCGATAGCGTTCTCCCGGTTTGTTTTAAACATATCACTTGCAATTAGTTATGACTTTTGCCCGAATGCAACAAATTTTATACTTCTCAGACAACAAGAGAAATCAGCTGTTTTGCAGCGAGACGTATCTGGTGGGCAAACATGCAAGATTTCGGTGACTCCTTGCGTCATGTCTGTGTGAGAACTTGTCTGGAAGCGGAAACGCCAAGTGACACGTGATTTCTGCGTAGTTTGAAACGGGGGAACTCTTAGAATGTTGATTGATTTTCCTTGCTCACGTGAAAACCGATTCCGATTCTGTTATTCGCTCTGCTATTCAAGACGGGCGGCTTAAAATCACCGGTTCTTTTACTCGTTCGTTTAGCTGTAACCCATTTTCGGTACCTAGTTGTCATGTCACCTGAAGGAAACTCAGGTTAGCTAAGCTTAGACAGGAACGGTCGGGACGCTGAGGTTGGGTTTGAACCACGGACTTCCCCGTCAGTAAGTTCGCGCCTTAACCCCGAGCTCCCTCGGGCTCTGATCTATTTATTCCCTCGGACAAATATGGTCACAAGGCATAGGTTAACATTTCGTATACTTTCTCCAGTCATGAGGCGTCATAGAACATGCTCTTTGCGTGTAAAACAGGAACAGACTGGACCGTACCGTAGTGTGACGATTTGTGTGCCCCCTAGACCCATTGAGCTATACTGAAGGGGTCATCCATGCGACACTCACAGTCGCTCATACCGGGTTGGTCAATGTTTAGAGGTCTGACAAACGCAGTCTCCTGGCTCTCCAGGTTGGGGGTTGAAACATGTGTGAGGACTTGTTCTGTAAAGGTAGTAATTCTCTGATATTTCCTCGCGAAACGCCGCTGCCTTGCAGCCAGGCATCGATTGCGCAAGTCAATAACTGATTGTCAGTCTTTTCGGAACACGTCCGGAGTCGCTTCTTCCTTCGGTTTTCAGGGCTGCGTAAGGTGCGGACAAATCGATTAGTAGCTGAGAGACGAATTTATTAGGATAGTCTTATGGGGTCCCTTCGAACTGCTCTACCGTCAGATGTGAATTCATGCTGGAACGAGATCGCCATCTCTTTGCACAGTGCTGCCAGTTTGCCTGTGGAAGAACTATGAAAGAGATTACGAAAGGTCTGGGTATTGTCGGTGCGACTCGCCTCCCAGAATGGGGACCAGATGATCGCCTTTCTGCTCTGCGTTGGATACGCAGCACGATTCGGCTGCTACTCGATGTCAGTGGCCTTCTTGTTGTCAGTTTCTATACCTAAATGAATGTCTGAAGGTGTAGGTACATTGGAATGATGGTGACAGGGCAGCAGCAGGTCGTTTCGCCGTCCACATTTTTTCTCTTTTCTTCTCAATACTGCTTTTAAACAAATGGCAGTGAAGCGTCACTGTCGAACACTGATGTCATGCTGCCGATGAAGGTGATAACCAGGTGCACTAAGTCAGTGATCTCACGCTATCCAGTGTCACCGTGCACCATCCAATAATCTCATTCTTCTGTTCATAACAAAGACCCTCAGATAAATTATGGTTCTACAGCAGCGGAGCATCAGTGCTGAACACTGATGTTATGCTGTCGTTGATGATGACGTCCGCCGTACTAGAATCTTCACCCACTCGCTTCAGAGACCTAATGACAGTCAAGGTGAATCCCGCCATCAGGCAGAATCCCATACCAAGAGCGAGTAACCGCTCGCATTTAGGCGCTGCAACGGCCAGTAGACCGGAGTCGCACCTGATTGGTCAGAAGCTTGGGCCTTTGCGGGCTCTGCATCAGGGCGATCTCTGATTGGTCCAAGATGTGGACACAACTGCCAGTCTTGTTCGGGCATCCGCAGACTACCGGTTGACAATGCCGCATCCGAATTTCTAGAATGTTGCCACTGGATACGGTTTAACATGGTTTATTGATTCGTCTTGCCCCTGGTGGCTGTCCTGCTGGAAAAGTTAGCTTTAGAGGATCAGGCTGAAACTGAACTGAAGCATACCTTTATTTCACACACTAATGACGTCTCGCTTCGACATGATGCGCAGGTTTGGAGGATATAGGCACCTTGCCCTTGAACGTTTTCTCCATAAATGTGAGGCTTTTTACAGTAACTCCCCATTCTCACACTTTACTAGGACCTATGTTTGTATGGCGGCTGAGCACTGGTTTCCACTACTAGTAATGAGGTGGTTATATTCAGCTCACGTAGTATCAGTCCGTGCTGCGATACTTTACGGATGGTTCCGTTGACTTGGGCATCCTGAGTCACTTGGGGATTTTACGATTGCCATTTTCAATGTTTTCGATTTTCCTATATGACTCACCGAAAATAAGCAGGCGGGATGTGATTATTCCATCCCCGAACAATGTCACTCGGGGTGGCCAAAACGTCTATTGGTGAACTTTGGTGATCTAAAGTTGTGTCATTCCATCACGATTCAAACCAAACCAAACGTGCTTCATTCGTACCGAATCCCATGTGGATAGGCTGAAGTGTTAAGTAGTCGGGGTGTGTGCATTGCACACCCTTGTCCAAGCCATCCTCTGGCCGATCTTTTCATCTTAAATGAAACATCACTGACATTTTGTTTCGTTTACCTGTGATCAATCTTGTGCCACTCTTGGGTAACGACCAAACTGTGCTGAGAGCACAGTACACTGCTATTCAGCCACTCATGGCCTTACAGCTACGTGTTCAGCTATTGGCCGGAAGGTGGGCGATTGGAAACTCTCTGCTGGTAATCCTCAACAAGGATGGAACAGGTGTACAGCGCTTTTGACTTTTCACTGGTGGGGCGATGTTCCAGTCACAAACCGTAGAATGGTTTGATCGTGATGCTGTGATAAGCAGCACTGGCCTGTAACTTCGTTACTGAGATTGTCAGTGGTAACTCATTGAAGCCACTGCAACTTGACCAAGAATATTTGTAGTGCATTCATTCATTGATCCATATGTTGGTAAGTTCATACAATCGAGCGAAACGAACTTTCCATAGCCTTGTGCGTCTTTCAATTGGTGTTTGTTGAAACCCCTCAAAATAACAGTTTGACTGTTAGCACCAAATAGCGTTCCTTGTCACACAGAGATTAGCGTACCGGGAAAGTAAACAAGCCGCGGGATTATCAAATTTCGCATGCAAATCCTACCTCTTTGGTGACTGTATGGGATATGATGTCCCGAAATGGATGTTTCACTGTTGACTGACATTCTGGCCACTGCCGAGTGGAAGATGGCGATTTTATTGTTGAGCTTGATCAAAAGCTTACGCTACCTCTTGGAGCCTCGCGTCAATAACTCTCCTGTTCTAATTTCAGACAATCTTATCGTTGAAAACCCAGGTGCCAAAGCATCGGTTTGAAGAAGAGGATAAGGAGTATGTGAGTTCTTTTTTCGGTTTTTTATCCATGCCTTCCGATTAGACGACGGTGGAATCAGAATTGTCCAGCTGTAGACCCCTTTCGGCGCCAAACTGCCATACCACCCAACAGAAGCACAGGGTCTGGGATACTGCCAGATGGGCCAAGCCCAGACATAGGTCGGCTTCCTACCACAGGCCTTCCGGTCAGTGAATTCTCGGTTTAACTACTGAGCCATCTCGCCCGACGATGGAATACCAAAGGTATTGCTGTGTAGCTCAGATGCGCTGCTTGGTCGTCGATTCAAGTGCCAGACTCAAAAAAACAGATGAACAACCAAGGGATGAATACTTTTGTTTCTGCTGTTTTGTCTACTTTCACACATCATTCCGAGAGTTCCGTTATCGTCCGTCCTCCTTTACTACCCACACAGATTTCGGCAATGAGGCTGCACGGCGCGTTCTTTTTCTCACACTGATCTTCGTGAGTTGTTCACCTATCGGTGTTCACCCTGCGAATGTTCGCGCTGTGGCGTCTTTCTGGAGGATCCTGGGTGTTTTGATTGATGACCGGTCTCTGTTTGAATTTCCATCCGTAGTGTAGGCTGAGTCCAGGTTAATGAAGCGATCGTGGGCAACGATGACGTTGGAAATATGTCAGAGTATTCAGGTGCACGAGGGTTGAACTGTTTCCTACTTTAGGAGGCACAGCAACTGAAGAGGTAGGAAGGGGTCGTAAAGACGGATGTAGGATCCTGACGGCTAAGCATCTCACAGGGCGATTGAAGCTATCAAACTATACGCAGTTCGTATTCAGTAGGCGGCAGGGACAGATAAGTGAGGGCAGTGTTTACATATGGGTAAATAAACATCGCGAATTAAGCAGAACGTACAATCAACAGTAGCGCAATCGGTAGGAGCGAAGCGGGTAGGGAGGCAGCAGAACTTTCTGGAGTTAAAGCGGGTAACTACCAGATGATGTACAAACTTATACATACGGGCAGTCAGACAGCGTAAGTAGGCAGTATACATGGATAACGATGGAGAATATAGTCAGTATCTCCTAATCAAATGGAAACGTGTGCTATCTCGAAAACGGGTATCAGTTGAATCTGACACAAATTAAATATAGCTTCAATATTTAGCTGATAGCGTGGCGAAGTAAAACGTGCAAGATGAAATGGAAAGGTATTAAAAATAGCATTATTGGTGAAGCCGAGTTGGCTCGCTTGTCTACCACCCGAGTTCGACCCGAGGGTGACCTGATTTCCTGTTGGAGTAGACACCCGAAAATAAGTAGAGTTGACATGAAATCGCAAGCAAAGACGGCGACAAAGTCCCAACATTAGTAACTGCAGACTAGGCTCATTTCATGCGGGAGCGATGAAACCTGAGACCGAACGGAAGGGAAGAAGGGCGGCGTTATTTTAAACAGGGGCAAGTCACGCTACTCATGAGTAGTCAAGCCAGTAGGAGAAATAACTGCTGATTGCCGCTGATCCACAGGAGGAATCAAAATGGAACTCCTGGTCAGTGCCTGTTGTTAACAACCCAACGGAATGAATCTATCAGAACACAACCGATTTATTTACAGTAGTCCTATGGGTATCAGGTGCAGGTTAACTCAGTCCTTCTCGAACTTTCCATTTCTGTATTCTTCTACGTATTGGATCATTTGATCGTTGCTCACGATGTACTCACCCATTCGTCCACAGCTCAAATCATATCCTCGGAAGATCACCACCAGTCTGCATCAGTCTACCACACATGAGGGTCGCTCAGTCCGATCCATGAAGCGAGAAGCACGCCGAGCCCGTAAACTGGAACAGAAGCAAGCCAAACTGGCGGAGTTGGCACGCTTGCGCAGACTGAAACTAGCCCTCCTGGCTGACAAAATTGAACGCATCAAGAGATCGTGCGGATCCGGTAGCGACCTGTTGGCATGTGATTTAGAAAAACTCAAAGAGCAGGCAGTTGTCGGAGAAAATGAAGCCGAAGTTGACATTGGTGAAACGGCACTTGATCTAGCGGAACATCTAGATGAGGATTGGGACCCGGAGAAACATGACCGACTGGTCGAACGTATGTTCAATGATTCGTACTACCAGGCCGCGGAGAATGATGCCGAGCTGCCTCGATTTTCCGACGCCAGTGATTTGGATTCGGATCATGTGTTTGAAGATGGCGTTGTTGAGGACGCAGAACCTTCTCAAAAGAAACGGAAGAAACGCGAACAGGTAGGGGGGTTGGTTAAATCAGTTGAGAACCACGCTGTTCTACTCAAATCACCATTCTTATGAGATTGCAGAGGATGACTACCTCAGAAGAGATCCAAAATGGCAGAAATTAGATATTACACTTTTGAGGAAATTGCACCTCAGGAAATCTGTTTTTCATCCAAAAGTCCGATAGCAACGAGGAATTATCAGCCTTATTGTTACGTAAATCTCCCTTTCAGTGGAAACGTGATGCCCAAGAGAGATGCATTTCGTCAACCATTTTCCTACAAAAATAGAATAACGCTTTGTTTTATCTTCCGTATGTATTTCTTTTTTCTATTTCGTCCCCGTGGCAACCGACGCACATCTTCCGGCACGCTAGCATGCCTCAACTTCCAGTTTGGGACCGATGTACAACGACCCCCACATGGAAGAAAAAGAGATAGAAGACGGTGACGTAACCGAGAAACGCCTTCGACGCCGACTACGTGGCAAAGCACGGCTACGGCGGGCCTTGAAGCGACAAAAGGCACCGTACGATCCCGCGGTCGATGAAGACTATGAAGTGCGTGTACCGTGATTCGCTTTTTCTAATCTACAGATTAGACCCCTCAGAACCCAAACCAATTCAAAGACAATTTTGGAAACAGAACTGTCTATTGCTATTGAGAATAACTCACCCCGACTAAGTAATCCGATTAGCCACGCGGGTCTTGTCAGCATACGTGTGTTGTTGTCAACGGACTTAATCTCTGTGGTTTATTGTGTGGTTTATCGGAAACCTGATACTCGTTCCAAACCCACTCCTGGGATTTATTGCTCCGACACCCACCAGACAGGCTACTAATCTGGATTTTAATCTCGGCTGGGATTTCCACTCTGGTCACCCATAAGAACATGACACTACTGACTCATCTCAGGTCTGGTTCCCCATTAGCGGACCTTGTTAAAATTGATTTGTTTTTCCCGCAGTGTAGACTGTTTGGATGTTGCATCCTACGCGCTGAGATTGCATCAGAGTCAGTAGTGTTGCTCACGAAGCTTCCGTTGATGGACAAAACAAACAGAACAAAACGGGTGGTGGGGATTTTGAACAGTCGTCCCCTACTAGCTTTATTCCAACCCTCAGCTGTCTAACTGTCATTTACGATGATATGTTTTGTCCTGTATGGCGGTAAACCACGTCTCTACGTTACCTACGAATCGCGTGATTGGTCCTGAGGTGGATTGGGATCGTCTCAAGGATCGGACACGAGTCAGGGGACATGTGTGCGATCGGGCAAGTTTTGCCCTCGGTCGGTCTTTGAATGCGGCAACATGAATTAATTGCAACGGAGGGTGCTTTAACCGGTAACTCACTGGAGCCATTATACGCAGAAAGTTTAGTTCATCTTTGAAGTGCACGTTGTAAAGATGACTTTGCTACGAACCAACCCAGGTGGAACAGTTCACCTAAGTCGTATGATGCGAGATGGCTCAAGTGGCTCAAGCGCGACTGACCGGAAGGTCCGTGGTTCGAACCCGACCTCTGTCTTCCGACTTCCCCTGTCTAGGCTTGGGCAACCTGGAAGTATCCCTGCCCTCGTGCTTCCTTCGGGTGGCATGACAGCTGGGCACAGAAAGGGTGCTGCAGTTGAACGGTTTTATGGCGCGAAGTCGCATTATGGATGGGCATTCTTGGTCATGTTCAAAGCGCCACGAATGAGATACAAACGTGGTAAGATCGCAAGAAGTGAATCAGTAAATTACACTAGGTGACCAGGTATGTGCTCATATCCCCATGGAAACATGCAGCCCGCTTTCATGAACATACCGACGGCGATTGGTCAGCTTCACAGGCAACAAGTCTACGTACTCATTGTACGTACTGGTGGTACTGTAAAAGTACGGTCCAAGTGTGTCGGAACTCGCCTTGACCAACAAAGACACTGGTACCCAATGATTAGCTGTCCTGTTTTTTTTAATGAAGATTTCATCCTGTAAGTGAAGTCAGTCTGTGCTGCATTGTCCAGGTATTTCATCCTCTCCTCACACTAGCGACAACGAACTTTGTGTTGTTTGTCATGGTTGCCCAAATCCCGTCGACTGTATCCGGTTCAGTTGTTGTACTTGTCGACAGCGGGTGTGTATGTACTTTAGACATCCCTTCTCACTCAACAGCACAAAGGATGACCTTACAGTACCCAGCCTCTCCGATTTGTAATCTGATAAACAAATTACGAGGCATGGTTGTTGAACGACAAGGTCCGAGCAGTCAACCGAAATGGCTCACTTTAATATAAAAGCTAGACAGAACAAGCTAGGCCACACTACACTTTGTACCACCCGAACCCTTGGTTTTGCCCTTCAATGCATTCTTCATTTCTGCGAAATCTCGTTTAGAGACAAATCCGTGCTTTAAACACCGCGTACATGTCCGATTCTCCGTTTTAGCATTACTTGGACAAACATTACAAACTCACTTGTGAAGATGTGATACCCGGACCGAATCCGGACGAGGACCTCTTCTGTCGATTCAGTTACCGCCAAGTAACGCCAAACGACTACGGTCTCACGACCGAGGAAGTGTTGACCGCCACAACAGGGGAACTTAATTCCTGGGTCCCTATCAATCGAGTTACTGCGTACCGGTGAGTCTCGATTTTCCCTTCTTATCTCTTAGCGAATATGTATGTAGTTTCCACCCCAACAAGGGCTGGGATACTGCCATGCTGCCCAAGCGTAGACAGGGAAAGTTGAGAGGCAGAGGTCAGGTTAGAACCAAGGACCTTCCGGTCAGTAAATTCGTTGAGCTCTCTCCCTCCCCCTCCCCCCCGAATATGTAGTTAATGAGCATTGAGAAATTACGCCAGGTTTAACCTATCCTCTCTATCGTTTCATCTGTGTTTCAGGACAGAAGAGGAGGAACAACGTGATCTTCGTGTGTATCATTCAAACAAAAAACTGGAGAAAAAAGCTAGAGTGATTGCCTCACTCTGCAATCCCGATGCCCATTGGTGGCCCGACGGTAATCCCTCGTAAGTTTTCTTTCTTAGCCTAATGGTTGTCTCCACCAAAAGATGGACAGCTGTTGACATCGCGCAGCAAGTGTTTTGATTCGAACGGACATGCAGACTTGTTCCAAAATCAATTGATGCTCATCACGAAGGTACTGCTGAGAAAAGAACGGTCCACCAATCCAGTTTGAAAAACAGTTTCTGGGCATGAATTCGCGCCTTGTGAAAGCTGCAGAAACAGCTATTCGACAAGTGCTCGCCCTCTTTTGCCCCGTGAATACTAGTCAACATTGTTGAAGCCGCGAAGCGTTAGTTTTGATATCACTGTCCCCAAGGCGGAATCACTAGGTGCAGGAATTATCTAGTCCGTAGAGTTTTCCTAAGGAATATGATCATGCCATAATGGAAGATTATTCGTTTCCTACGTTTTTTGCTCAATTGGGTTTCGGATGTTGTCCCGGATGTTTTGAAATTCCCGGGTTTCCTCACGTCAGCTGACCATAAGCAAGCTCATTTACCGAAGCACGGTTCTGTGGGCTTGAAGCACAGACAGCATGTGGCTAAACCCTCCGCATCAGGTCCTACTCTGGATCACAAGAGCAACCATCCAACGAACGAATCAGATGCAAGGTAATCCGACCACAACGAAACGGTAATCCTGAAACGACCAATCAGCTTAAGTGGTAAAAAAAATCCACGAACAAACAACCACGTTGAGGATATCAGTTACGATTTAGGAACTATGTGAATGCAAGAAGGCGAGAATCAGTCATCCAGCCGCTCATTGACGATGTCTCTTCAAATTGTGACGAAATGCTTGCGAGCTAGTTGCTGAGCCGGGCGAATAAATCAACAACTAGTCATCTCAAGGTAGTGAGCCATTGGAAAACTCATATGTCCTGACCTTCAAGCGAAGAAGCAGGTGGAGTTAACAGTTCTGGTTATTCACAGCTCAGTCCTACTGTTCCCTGACTTTTCGGGGAATACACCAAGCTGACAAACACATTAGGATAGCAGAACTGGATGCTTTGACGAAATATCGTGTGTGCCGTATGCCCATCCGAATTGTGAGGCGGTGTTTATGCTTCAGTTACCTAGTTCGGCCATATGTGCCTAACAGAAAATACACGAATTCCCGTTAATAATCTTCCGGAGAACATAAAGTTACGCCTTCTCAAGATGTAGTGTATGAACTTGTAAGATATTACTGCTCACAACAGCGACTGTTAGGTCCGTCCAGATGGCTTGGATCAATGGAATATTTGCTGCTACGATTTCTCCGGTAATCGCTCAGCTGTAGCACCCTTTCGGTGCCTAGCTGCCGTCCCACATGAAGGAGGCACGAGGACTGGGATACTGCCAGGTTGCCCAGACCTAGACAGGGGAAGTCGAGAGGCAGAGGTCGGTTTCGAAACACGGACCTTCCGGTCAGTGAATTCGCGCGAGCCATGTCGCCCCAATCCTGTGTGAATAGGCTAGAAGGGACGCAGCTCAGACAGGGAGCGGTTGTTTGAGGCTGTCGGGCGTTGGAACAGAGTTAACCGAGTATTGGACACTGCACGGGATTAGGGAATGGTGACCAGTGCTCACTGCAAGTGGGACGAAATGTTATAAACGACATCCATCGGGATTTCCTTTGTGAAGTTTGGACAAACGTGGGGTTCAAGTAGAGCATAAGGTTGACGGAAACTCGGGGACTGCGCCTACCTGATGAGCCCCAATGGGGGGCGAAACCGGTGGTGGGCTGTCGAAGTTTTCATCAACCTTGTGAGTAGTTTCCTTTATGAGAAGCGTGGAGTTTCTTGTCGATTATATAACCAACCGGTTTTACTCGAGGAATTCCAGTGCATTTGGAAAAGCATTCAAATAAACAAACCTGCTGGATTATGGCGCCATCAGTAGAATGGACGCAGAATCCTCTGCGAAATTCACGCAGCAAGACAGCAAACTCTCGTTGAGCAGTACTTCCAAGAACGGACGGCGTGTCCACTGTTGGAGGCGTCTACATGCCATGTCCTGCGGTGCCCCCCAGTCATATGCAAGGGGAAGCTCTGATCGACTATAACCGCTTCATGCACACAAATGACTCGTTTTTGCTTCCTGTCGGGGAGTCCCCGGTCTCAGTAAGCGTTGATTTTCAATTCACCGAATGATGAACCCGGGAGTTAAGGACGAGCATGAACCACGCATCCGCGGTTGTTCAATTTGCTCTCCCACCGCCCACTTGCTTTTTTAGGTTGCCCAATCACTTCGGAGTTAACGGTCACCTTTATCACCACATTTATAATCCCAGGAACCCGAGTTTTTATTTTCGCTATATTTGGCATTTTGATCCCCAGTTCACGGATTAGCATGCGAACCTTACTCACATGTTCGTGACCGCATCAAATCAATCAAACAATGTCGCAACTTTTTCAGGCACTATGATTCTTTTTTCACCTGCAGAGCATCCAACAAACTGTCTAAGAAACGAAAGCGCTCCAAGAAGAAACGCGCCCGGGACGCGGCACGTGCGCAGCTGGACGAAACCACCGAGAAGCCGGTTGCAAACGGATCGACGTTTGAACCAAACGAGTCGGAACACGATTCAAATGTGAAGAGACAAAAGGTCAAGCGATCCCGGAAACTGAAGGGTGTCACCATCTCGCAGAGTCGGTTAGCAGCTTGTAATATCACTCCGAAGGATGTCTATCGTCTTATGAAGCGTTCCAAGGACGAAAATTCACATAATCCCACCGCATGTTAGACTGACTTATTGGACACGCAATATCTGTACAGTTGCACAAACAGAGTTTTCTAAATGGCTTCGGTGTTACTTTTTCAACATCCGAAAGTGACTGAAAAGCTTAAGAAATAACAGTAGTCAATAATTGCTCAGCTATAACACTGTTTCGGAGCCTGGCTGCCATGTCACAGGAAAGCATGAGGGCTGAGGTACTGCCATCATCATCATCGTCAACTGTAATGACCGCGTACTCGTCGTACAGTGGTTGTAGCTGCCGCAGTTTCGCTCACCCATGATTTGAGAGGGAGGGGGAGGTAGCTGCGCATTCAGGTGGGAGGTCAGTGGACTTTTAAACAGTGAAACTGGGAAAGGAGCTATGCATTGAAGGCTTGGATGCACCAGCACCATTGAGGGTCCAAATGGGCAGTGTCTGACAACGTCTCCAACCATTTATGTGGCCCGTCTCGTGGTCTCGACACATGGAGACGGCAATGACCAGCGCAACTGAGTTTGCTGGCAATGGCTTTCATACTTCGCTGCCAAGTCATTGTTTGGCTCTCGTCCGCCCTTCACGTGGGTGCTGCCAAGATACCGCGGAGCTCCTAATGAAACTCGGAACTGGATGATATTACCTGCGATAAAAGTTAGTTGCAGGCAAATATCGCGCGATCGGCTTGGCACACCGTCATTTTGAGTCTATTTTTCACCGGACTAGCGTCAGTGTGAAACGACCTCCTGCAGACGTTCAAAACTGGCATTATTATTTCGATGGTGAACCGACGAAGGTGCCTGTCACGGTTTCGAGCTCAAGGAGACGTCGTTGCCAGTACTTCATGCTCTGGTGCGACAAGCATACAAACGATGATGGCGGTAAAGCTAACCTGGTCGTACTAATTAAAACCCGCACAACGAAGAATGGATGAAACATTCGGTTCAACAAGTGGGTCAATAATATAATCAATAGACCTGTTGTAGCTCAGGGTAGCTCAATGCCTGAGACGCGAACATACTGACCGGGAGGTCCGCACCCAACCCTGGCATCCCTACTTCCCTTGTCTAGGCTTGGGGAATGTGTCAGTATCTGAGCCCTCGGGCTTCCTTCTGGTGGCATGCCAATTAGGCACTGAGAGAGTGTTTCAACGGAAATAATGCTGTGTACACCTGTTGAATCCACATGCCGTGCTGTCACAGCTCTTGAGTACCGCTTGCCACTGCAATACTGATATTCCGTTGGGTCGGACGCCTTATGCTCATCATCAGTGTTCACGACACAACCCGTGTTCTGCATTGATGCTTCGCTGACGTAGAATCATGGCTGTACGCGCGCTGAAATATTGCCAGAGTACCCAGACCTAGGCAGGACGGTGAGGGTCCTCGGCCAAGACGTTCGGCGCAAAAGGCCGACCGCAGGGCAGCGGTTTGCCGGGAAATGCAGTAGCATCAACAAATTTTAAAGAACAAGACGTCATTCATGCTCCAACTCGGAGGGCCAGGGAACTACTGATTATTAACCAATTTGTTATGAGAGGCTGCTAGTGTCGCACGGACACCCCTTAGTATAGCTCAATGGATCATGGAGGCACACAAACCGTCACATCAGGGTAAAGTCCAGTCTTTTCGTGACCAGTTCGGCTCATGTGCTGTTTCGTTGTGTCAGAATCTGTGCAAGACGTCCGTCACTAACCTTGCTTGTCAGCATATAGCCCGTCAGATCAGCTCCAACTGACTTTATCCACTCTTCATTTTCCCGACCATTTTTTGTTTCGTTTTCGGCTGATGGACCCACCTTTTGTTTCTCGCATGGTGGCAGCATCCTTCGAGGAGCCGCCACTATTCTCTTCGATTGCAATTTTTTTCATTTACTAGTTGGTCCGACTAATTCGAACAGTTATCAGAGTACTCATCAATAGTCTGAGAATTTCGAAATGGAGAGACCAAGTGCGAGCGAGAAGATGCGCCTGGGGACAGACTCCAAACAGCCGACCTCTCGCTTATCAGCGATGCTGAAGTTCGTTGAATGGTATTCGGGAGAAATAACTCACTCTCAACTGATCACACTGCATAGGTTGCGCCGGCTTGGCCACGTGCTGCGTATGCCAGTCGACCGACTTCCTCGAAAGGATCTTTTCGTACAACCACGTGAAGGGTGGAAAAGAGCCGGAGGCGGTCAAACAATGACTTGGCCGCGAAGTATAAAAGCCATTGCCAGCAAACTCAGCTGCGCTGGTCATTGTCGTCTTCCTGGATGGGGGGTACGAGACAGGCCACATCAATGGCTAGAGATATTGTCAGATATGGCCCAGTCGCGCCCTCAATGGCGCTCGTGCATCCAAGCTATTGCCTTCACTGCATATCTCCCTTCCCAATCCCCCCACTTGACAGTACTGGATTTATGCACCAATTTATCAGCTCCCGCCTCCAATGCGCAGCTACCTAACCCCCCTCCCCAAATCATCGGTGAACGAAACTGCGACAGCTACAACCACTGTACGACGAGTACGCAGTCTTTACAGCTGACAATGATGACGGTGATTACCAAGTAGGTGGTGTACCATTTAAACCAATACCTACCAAACCCCTTGAGGTACCAAGATCTGGTCCATTGTGAACGCCACACTACATGGTCATTCATGGCGTTGACAGATATCTACTGGACCGAGGTTGTGGCAGGTCACGTACGACCGAGATCGGGCTCAGTCGGTACACCGTCCGGTGGTTCGACTCCATCCCCCGTATGTGTCTTTCCGTTCATGGCATGTGCATTTGACCTTCTCATTGCAAGTCTATCAAACCCACAGCTGGTTTTTCATAAGTGACACGATTGAATTGTTCAGCGGCTGGCTAGGCCATGAACTATTTCCAAACTCAGATCAACCAACTGTCAAACTGCCGACGGAGATAACAGCCTAAAAGGGACACATGTCCGAACCCTTCACATCCACCAGGAGGCCCCGAAATAAAGACAAAAGCTGGGATTTTCGGAATCCACAGCCACAAACTTTTCGCTTTGGTTTTATTTCATCGTCGAATACATAAAGATGAAAGAAAACGAATATCATAACATTTTCATTGTATGTACAACGGGGGACTAGGTTAAATGTGTGTCAATCAACTCAATGGTAGAGAAAATGAAAGACGAAGGCGCCTCACAGTTTCCCTGATTTGTTGTTGTTGTTGTTGTTGCGATTAGGCCGGTTGGGAGACACTGTGTTTTGCTATCATAGAGTCTAACAGCTGAGCGTAACTCAGGTAACTCCGCCCTTCCGGAAAACGTAGCAAGAATCTGGATGGGATGTGCAAATGATAGAGGAATAGCACCAGTAGAAATCCATCCATTACATTATGCAACGGGAGTGGGGCTTGACAAAATGCGACTGACGGAGGCCTGTCTGCTGGTTTCCTGTGAAAGCGCTCACGTAAGTCACGGCCGAACTCGATGAGCGATAGAGGAGCCGGATGTTCCTTCACAGGATCAAAGTGGCCTTCACCCCCATCGTCGGGGAATTCTCCAAAGTAATTGAAACATTCCACCAGTTTGTCGATCGAGGACGTGTATGCTTGGTTAAACAAGTGAACAGATGAGAGAAATGTTATAATATAATATATATAATGTATACTGTAACAATATATAATATAATGGTATATAAAAAGTACACCTTTCGTCACTATACGAGATATCGCGCGCTGAACCATGCACCAAAAACACCTTTCTGTCCTGAAGGAATGTCTGCCAGCCAACGACCAAGCTTGGTGAACAAATTAGCTGCTACCTGATCAGAAGGGGGGCTCAAGTGGTTAGAGCGGGAATTTACTGACCGAAGATACATTGGTTAGAACTCTGCCTCTCGACTTCCCCTGTCTGGGCTTAGGCGCCCTGGCAGTATCCCAGCCCTCGTGCCACCTTCTGGCTGCAAGGCAATTGGGCACCGAGAGGGTGCTACCGCTAAACGATTTTTTTACCTGATCAGTAGTCAGGTCATCGTTTCAAACTTGCCAGAAGGGGTATGTCGAGACCAATAAACCCCGGTGTGCACCTGCACAAACATGTTCAAACTCAAGCAGACGCTACAATAATAATAATTAATAAAATAGTTCATCTATAGTACGTCCCGGTGCCTAGCTGCCATGCCATCCGAAGGAAACTTGGGGTCTGGGACACTGCCAAGTGGCCCAAGCCTAGACAGGAGCAGTCGAGGTGCCGAGGTTGGTTTCGGACCATGGACTGCCCGGTTAGTAAGTTCGTGCCATGGACACTGAGCTACCTCGGGTCATGGCTGCGTAAACCTGTATATTTGAACAAGTCTTCTACACGATAACAACGATAATGGGTCTTTTTCTTGACGGGACATTACCCATAAGGTTGTAGGAAATTCTTCGATGGCCCTTTTCGGAGCTAATCAGGTAGGTACAGTCCTCGAATCCCCGTCAATTTTCGGTTCGAGTTCCGTAACTAGTTCGCGGAATACACCTACCTCAAAGCGAACCTAGTTTTACTGAGGGCTCAACTGAAGCCCTACTTGTCTATGATCCACCGCCTTAGGGCAAACTAGTCCGATACGCCCCAGCCTTCCAGCCCGATAAAGTGTGTACTGTAGACTAGTGTTAGTTACGCATTCGAGGTAAGCATAATACTCGCTTTGCATTCCAAGCAACCATGGTAGTTCGATAGGAATTACGCTTGGTGTTTAGCTACTGCTAGTAGTATCTATCATCCATGCAAACTGTCCAGCGCCGATTGTCGATACCCTTGATGCAGAGTAATCCATTTGGTAGCCTTTCATATCAATAAGTCCTATTCAACCAGACTGATAACACTTGCCACAGAATTCAGTTAGAAGGATATATCCCCTTCACGCATGAGACAGAAGGCGTTGTTTCCAACCCCCCCAGTGTGTTCGAGGTTGAATCAGCTGTGTGAGGGTGGTTTGCATAGTGTCGACGATAAGAGCCTGAATAGAATTTCCAATCTGGTGCTGAGTAAAATGTCGGTTCGTGTTTCTTCACTTGATCACAACAGAAAAACGTAATAAAGTGTAAGCGACAACACGGGAGGTGGCTAATCAAGAAAAGGGGTGCCATTCAAAAGGAGGAGAACTCACTCGAGGTCATCTCTGTCAGAGCAGCTTGTAGGGACTCAGTTGTAGTCACACAGGTCTCACTATGTATTCCAAGTGCTTGACCGTACTTGGTAAGAAGAGCAAGTGCTACGGCCCTCAACATAGCCTGGATCATGTGATACATCTGCAGAGGAATACGTTTATGAACGGGAAAGGACTTACAGTCGGTTGAAACGGTACTAGAGACAAACGGCTGGGCCGGAAACAACCGAGCAAAGGTGGGACGGGGCATCGGTAGTGCACCGTAATGGCCGATCGGATTTCGGCCAGGATCCCTACGATGATTCGGGTGGCATCCACTTTGCTCCACACGTTGGGTAGATCAACAGACCAGAGTGCGTCTCTGATGGCCGCGACAAACCAAGTGTTTTGAGCAATGCGGGTGACGAAACGCGCCCAAGCCATTTCTAGCAAGCGTACGGGACGGTCGGCTAACCGGAGTCGGTTGAGCTGATTCGTACGAGACACTGGATCTGTGGAGATGTTACCACCGAAAACGTAGATTTCGCGCGCCTGTTTGAAGGAGCCAAGTATGAAGCGTATCAGTCTGACTTGAAACGAACGGTAACCTTCATGTACCAGGGTTATGTCATCAGGATAAAAAGTGAGATCTTGGTCAGTTCATGTCACGTTACTACCAAACAAACAAAACCAGTGTTCTGCAGTATGACCGACCTAATCCTTTAAGTGAGCTGTGGAATCAATCAAGAAAACACTGCCCACCTGACTTAATCAGGTGTACACTAACGTGCAGAGCTACACATAGTTCATGTAGCTAGGGTGTAACGGCACGTAACCAGACCCATTCCTTCCAGTCAATAAGGATAGCCAAATTAGTGTATCACTACCATAAGGTCACTGGAATTAAATCAGTCAATGAGTCACGTTACTACCAAACAAACAAAACCAGTGTTCTGCAGTATGACCGACCTAATCCTTTAAGTGAGCTGTGGAATCAATCAAGAAAACACTGCCCACCTGACTTAATCAGGTGTACACTAACGTGCGGAGCTACACAGAGTTCATGTAGCTAGGGTGTAACGGCACGTAACCAGACCCATTCCTTCCAGTCAATAAGGATAGCCAAATTAGTGTATCACTACCATAAGGTCACTGGAATTAAATCAGTCAATGAGTCAATTTATCAGCTATAAACCGTGTACCATAGACATAATGGTTCCAGCTGCTACAGTTTCAATCACCAGAAATTGGAAGAGTGTGGGAGATACAGCCAAACTTTAGAGCTGATGGCTGTTTGGCTTGTTCTGGAATCGGGTAGCTACGCATTGCAGTCTTTGATACAAGAGCGCCACCAGCTGTGCAATTGGGACATTTCCGACAGTGTCACTAACCAGTGGTGAGTTGAGTTCAGGGGTACCCATCCAGGGAGACGGCAGTTGTCGACCCGACTAGGTATTTTCCCAATTCGTTGCCAGGTCATACACTGTCGAGTGTCACTAACCAGTGGTGAGTTGAGTTCCGGGGTCCCCGTCCAGGGAGACGGCAGTTGTCGACTCGACTAGGTATTTTCCCAATTTGTTGCCTGGTCATACACCGTCTACCCCTCAGTCACTTACACTCAGCACAGGGCTGGACGAAAATAGCCCTCCGAGGCAGACGGTTTCCTGCCGTGTTGGATACATGTCCTAATCTATGAAGCGTGAGTAATTCACCTGTCGCGGGAGAGTTCCTTCTT